GGTTGGCACCACAGTGCAGTGCTGAAAGTGCTGCACTGTTCAAGATGCAGTCGTCTTGGATGAGATATTAAAGCATGGTCCAATCTGCCCTTTGAGGAAATAAAATATCCCATTGCATTATTTCAAAGAGGAGCAGGAGGAATATTCCCAATGTTTTGGCTGATGTTTATCCCTCAGTCTGTTTTGTGATGTAGATTATCTAGTCATTACCAGATTGGTGTTTGTGGAAGCTTGCTGCACACTAACTGCTAAATTCACATTACAACAGCAAATATATTTCAAAAATTACGTCAGTGGCTGGAAAGCAATTTGGGATGTCTACTGTTGAAGAAAGGTGTTATATAAATGTGCAATCAAAGGTGTCTTATACTTTGGGATTTGCTTTTCAAAATAGGGGCAAAACTATGTGGGTCAGTTCTGAGAAGGCAATTTTTTTAAGCAGGTCAGAAAGTCATTTGGAACAAGTGTATCAATTCAGAGAGTGTCTGCAACTGCAGCTAGGGACCTGGAGACAATATTTGTCATAAATTAAACAATATAAACAATGTTTCAAGGTACATGGCTACAGTTGCATGCACTTGGACTACTGTTCCAGAGGACTTTCTGGCCTTTTTTAAAATAGATTACAGCTTCACAGAACTGACCACATTAATTCATCTCTATTTTGAGAAGCAAATTCGAAACTCAGACACCTTTCATTGCACATTCCCTCAGTTTCTTTTCCTTAGACAGCAGAGAATGTTTTTATAGTTGCTTTGAGTCTATTGGCAGGAACCTTTCAGAATTCTGATTACCCAAGACTTCAGTTCTAATGACTTGAATATCTCTACCAAAATTATTTTGGCTTAAAAGCTCAAAGTAAAGCACTTCAGCTATACTGACTGGCTGCCCCAAAGTAAAATTTTATTCTCCTAACAGAAAGCTGAAACTTGGTTCTCAACTATACTCCTTGTTCTGCTCAACTCAGACTTTGAACCTTCTGTTCAGAAGTCAAAACTAAGACCTTGATGTATTTACTGTTTACACCATTGAAGTTATAACAAATGACAAGGGGGAAGCAGCTGAACTACTATTAACAGCAGTTGTTTTCTAGGATATGGAAAGAACTCCTGATGGTATTAAAACGAAATGGATAAGATGAATGCTTGGATACTTTTCTACTCTATTAAGCCTCTTGCATGACGAGCGAGTGAGGTAGCTGCTATTTGTGTAACCATAATCCTATTCAGAGAACCGACACTTCAAGGAGGTTGCGAAATGGGAAAGGGAAGGAAAAATGTCACAAGATATTTTAAATTGCAGCAAATTATAAAATACAAACTTAAAGTCAACTTAAGAAATACTCTGGTCCATTCCAACTCTTCCCCAAATTAGCACCATGTAAAATGATTGTTTGGCTAGATATGTACATAATAAGTCAGTGGACCAATCTTCGTACTCTTGTGAAAATCATTTGACTGATCAGCATGAAATGGCTCATTTGAGACCTCGGCAGGGGCTATAAAAAGGATGTGGAATTTGCATTGTAATCAGTTGATATTGTGCCCTTGACCTGAAGAATGAATACAGTCAGTCAGTCAGTCAGTGACCCAGTATCACACCACTATTATGCTTTGAGAAACAAATTGCATTTAAATGCTTTAGAATTATAATGAATATAAAAAGAACAGTTGACACTAGTTTTGACCAGTCTATTTCATGTCCCTAATTAGTAGTTTTGTATTGTTTAGAAAAATATTACATTAAGGGGCCCAACTTTGGGCCAATGCCAGTCCCTCAGCAATAATATGTTCTTTGCTTCAGAAACTTCAATTGTTTTTCCTTATTTGAAAGTGTTATAAAATGAGTAAAATAAAAAATTTATCAATTGGCTTTTTAAAAACATGTGGGTTCCTCTGGACAAGATGTGAAGCATGACCATTGTCAACCAAGTTGAAGGCCTGTAAGAGTGGAAAAAAGGTCACGGTTTTGCTGAATGTGCTTAGTAAATTACACTACCGGATTCCTTTCAAAATCTCTACCTTCACAGATGAATTCCCAGCTAACGTGCTCAGAGTCACAAATGAAAATATCTGATTGTACTGCAAACAAAAGACACCGGCTCTGCACATCTGAAATAAAAAGAGTGCTGGAGAAACTCAGCAGGTCTGAAAGCATCTGTAAAGAGTGAGTGTTAATGATTTTAGTTTGATGTGACTCAGCATGAAGATTCACACCCAACTTCTCCATAACTGAGTTCTGAGGGCCACTCAACCTGAAACGTTAACTGATTTCTCTCCACAGATGCTGCCAGACATGCTGAGCTATTCCAGCAATGTTTGCGTCCATAACTGAAGCTTCTTCTAAACCACTTCTGTACTCTCCAGGTTCTGGAGCACAAGTCTTTAGTACTAATGCTGGAATGTTGTCAGGGCCTGTAGCCTTTGCAGTTTCCAGTGCCTCCAACTATTTCTTGCTATCATGCGGATGCCAGTGTTTGGCTCATATTCCTCCAAATCGTGTGTTTATGTACCTGTCCAAATGTCTTTTAAACACTGTCAACTGTACCTGCATCCAACATTGTAACTAATGGGTGGATTAAATAATTCCATGGAGGGGGCATCTCTGCGACTATCCCCATCCTCAACAGTGGAACAGCCCAGCATATCTGCGCAAAAGAGGAGGCTGAAGCAGTCTCCAGCCAGAAGTGGCGAGTGCATGATCCAGCTCAGTCCCCAACATTACTGATACCAATCTTCAGCCAATTTGATTCACTCCACATGATATCAAGAAACAACCGGAGGCACTGGAAACTGCAAAGGCTATAGGCCCTGACAACATTCCAGCATTAGTACTAAAGACTTGTGCTCCAGAACCTGCTGTTCCCCTAGCCAAGCTATTCCAATACAGTTACAACACTGGCATCTACCCAACAATGTGGAAAAATGCTCAAGTATGCATGACATATCCAAACCACCATCCCATCAGTCTACTCTCGATCATCAGTAAAGTGCTGGGAGGTGTCATCAACAGTGCTATCAAGCAGCACCTGCTCAGCAATAACCTGCTCAGTGACACCCAGTTTGGGCTCTGCCAGGGCCATTCAGCTCCTGACCTCATTACAGCCTTGGTTCAAACATGGACAACAGTGGAATTCCTAATGGGAAGACAGTGACAGCCCTTGACGCCAAAGCTGCTTTCGACAGAGTGTGACATCAAGGAGCCCTAGCAAAAAACTGGAATCAATGGGTATTGGGGGCAAAGTCTCCAGTGGTTGGAGTCATACCTGACACATAGGAAGATGGTTGTGGTTGTTGGAGGTCAGTTATCTCAGCTTCAGGACATCTCTGTAGGAGTTCCACAGGGTAGTGTCCTAGGCCCAACCATCTTCAGCTGCTTCATCAATGACTTTCCCTCCACCATAGTCAGAAGTGTGGATGATCATTGATGATTGTGCAATCTTCATTACCATTCGCAACTCCCCAGACACTGAAGCAGTCGGTGTCCAAACGCAACAAGATCTGGATAATATCCAGGCTTGGGCCGACAACTGACAAGTAACATTTGCGCTGCACAAACGTCAGGCTATGACCATTACCAATAAGAGACATTCTGGGCGTTATCATTGTCCAGAAACTCAACTGGAATCACCACATGAATACAGAGGCTACAAGAGCAGGCCAGAAGCTAGGCATACTGCCGTGACTAACTCACCTCCTGACTCCCCAAAGCCTGTCCATCATCTACAAGGCACAAGTCAGGAGTGTGAGATAACAAGGTGTAGAGCTGGATGAACACAGTAGGCCAAGCAGCAGAGCAGCAGGAAAGCTGACGTTTTGGGTCTCGACCCGAAACATTAGCTTTCCTGCTCCTCTGATGCTGCTTGGCATGCCGCGTTCATCCAGCTCTACACCTTGTTATCTCAGATTCTCCAGCATCGGCAGCTCCTACTATCTCTGTAACAAGTCAGAAGTGTGATGGAATACTCCCCACTTGCCTGGATGAGTGCAGCTCCAACAACACTGAAGAAGCTTGACACCATCCAGGACAAAGCATTCTGCTTGACTGGCACCACATCCACAAACATCCACTCCCTCCACCACCAATTCTCAGTAGCAGCAGTCTGTACTATCTACAAGATGCACTGCAGAAATTCACCAAAGATCCTCGGACAATACTTGCCAAAGCCGTGACTACTTCCATCTAGGACGAGAGCAGCAGATAAGTGGGAATACCACCGCCTTCAAATGATTCCCTCCAAGCCACTACCATCCTGACTTGGAAATATATCGCCGTTCCTTCACTTGTCACTGGGTCAAAATCCTGGAATTCCCTCCCTCGTGGCATTGTGGGCCAACCCACAGCACATGGACTGCAGCGGTTCAAGGCGGCAGCTCACCATCACCACCTCAAGGGCAGGTAGGGATGAGCAATAAATGCTGGCCAGCCAGTGACACCCACATCCCACAAAAATGAATAAATTAAAAAAAAAAAAAAAACAAAAACTTCTTCTGGCTGTTCATTCTGCACGAGTTACTTTTTTTGTTTAAGAAAAAGTTGCCCCTCATGCCCTTTATAAATCTTTCTCCCCTCACCTTAAAAAATATGCCTCGAGCTCCAAACTTCCCTACCTTGCAAATATTGTTGCTATTGCAAATATTGTTGCTATTGCAAATATT